CGCCCCGGAGTCGCGATGGGCAACACGGTGCACAGGACCTTGCCAGGTACGCCGGGAACCCGGCCCGCGAGGCGGGCGCCGGGCTTCTCCTCTCCCCTGGACACCCACTGGGTGACTCTCGGGGAGCCACCCCACGCCCCTCGGAGCCCTCGGCGCGCACCGGGCTGCGGTCTCCAGCGCCTCCCCGAGCCCAGCTCTGCGCGCGCGCCCAGAGGCTGGGCTTCGCGCTCCGGGAGAGCGGGTACAGCGTCCTGGTTACCTTGGGGACCCCCGTCCTCGTTCTCTCCGGCTTTGGCCAGATGCGCGAAAGGGCCGCCGTGGCTATGTCGCGCACCCCCTCGCCTTTGTTCCAGCCCGGAGGCGCGGATGAAGGAGCCTGGGGCGACCGGGGGTGGGGGGGTGAATCTGGAGCCGGGCTCGCCCCGGCTTCCGACGGTCAGAAGCCGCCAGTTGTGCAGAGACCGCAGCTGCCGAGAGTGGGGGAGGTGTGCGCTAGGGTCTCTCAGTTTGCAGGCTGCCAGCGCCCCCGCGCACATGCTGCCTCGCCTCGGCCGCGCTCCCACGCGCACCAGGCTGCGCCCCCCTCTGGTGTCGGCTCAACTGGGGGCTCCTTAGCCCTATGGGAGTCGCTGCTGTAGAGCGCGTCGCCCCCTAATTCAAAGAGCCCTAGAATTTCCCAGACCAGAGTAAGGGGATTGGGAGGGGGCAATGGGGTGGGAGCATAGAATCAGAGGAGGCCTTACTGAAGAAAGCCTGGTGATCCTGGGGAACAGATCCGCGGCCCCACGGAGGCTCTGTGTCAGCACTTTGCATACCTTACCTGAGCACGGTATGCAAATAAACTTCACTAAAGAGAGATGTATCCTAATTTCACAAATGGGAAAAAAAATGAAGCTCAGAGGAGAGGAAATGACTCCACCAGGGTCACACAGGAGTGGGAGAATCTGGATGGAGTCCGGTTTATCCATCTGCCCTCCCCCATCCCTCTGTCTTCAGAAGTCTTGGCTGAAAGCTGGGCATTTATAGCATCCTTTGGATAAAAGGCAAGGCCTGTGTGGGCGCTGGAGGGCGCAGTTGGGTGGATTGCCTAGGCTGGCTGAGTGAAGAAGTCAGCCCTAGGTCAGATTTAGTGTGAGACTTTGCTCACTCTACACCGACACCCCTTGTAGTCCTTTCTTTAGCGTTAAGTGCCGATATCAAAAAATAATCGTATGTCCCTTGGAGGGGACTGAAGTGGAGTTGAGCCCCCAGTCCCAGGCCAACTTATGCAGGAGGGGCTGACTCCTCCAACAGAGCAAGCCTTTGGGCATATTTTGGGCAACTGCACTGGAGCGTTCCAGTTCTTGGAGAAGTGGAGGCACCAGCTACTCAGTGGTGGAGGAAGGAACCCTGGCGGCTGGCTGGCTGGCTGGCCTGTTTCCTTTGCGCATGCTCCTCCGGGGAGGGGCGAGCCCCCACCCACACCCCATCGGCAGACAGGAGGGGTGCTCGCTGCAGGCACTGGAGGTCCTACCCACCAGCCCTGGGCAGAGGCACTGATGCCCCACCCCTTCATGCAGTTTCTTAAGAAATGTTGATGCTGTGCTAATGAATAAGCCATTTGCCACTCGTGGGTCAGTCTGGGGCAAGCAGTGGACAGACACACTGAGGGCACTACAGCTGTCCCCTGTGAAGTCAGCACCGCCCCTCCTGCCTGCACTGTGCCAGGTGTGCGAGATGGGGCAGGTGTGGGGTGGGTGCTCAAGCAGTGTCCAGTGTAGGAGAGTTCTGTGCTCCTGGGGGACTTAGACTTGCATCAAGTTTGAGAAGGGGACAGACCTGGAATTCCTGAGCCATGGAAGGTTGCAGGTGCCCAGAATATAAAGGGCTCTTTTTTGTTTTTGGATGCATAGCTAAACTCTTGCACACAACATGCTATTTTGGTGCATCTGTGCTCAGCCGGTGAGCCCTCCACACCTGGAATAGCCTTTCTTGTCACCTTCCTTGTCCTCAATCCAGCTGGGATGGGGGTGGATGGAGGTGGTCAGCTTTCCTGTCGGCCTGCAGCCCCACCCGTTGCTCTTCCTCCTGGACACCTCAGGTCTCTGCAGTTCATGTGACCACACTGCACTAACTCCATGCTCTCCTGGATCCCCGGGGATAGAGCCCCTGCCTGGATCACCTCCTGGCCCTCTTGCCCATCCCAGAGCCTGGAGCCTGGCAGGGCTCGGAGGCTCGGGGGCGCTGGGCCGTTGCTGGTGTCTCCTGCTGTGGGAACGCTTGCTCAGTCTTGCCCTGGAGAAGCCTGTGCTTCGTTCTCAGGAAAAGGACACATGCGGGGGTTCCTTCTGTGGGACTTGAAATAGAGAGCTGGCATTGCTGAGCACCTGGATTCCATGCCAGCCTTCCTGCGTATTTGGCTTCATTCATTTGCACGCCAAGCACACGTCTCCTTAAGGCTCCTGCAGCCACCCATCTCTCTTCTGGAACATTCTCCCTGCAGACCAGAATGCAGCTCCCATGGCTCTCTGCAGGTCTCTGTACCAACGCACATCCTGCCACCGTTCTGGTCTGCCGCTCCCCACCCCCTTTACTCTGCTTTGAGTTTCTTAGTGTGTGTCACCACGTGACAGCTCTCTGTGTGGTGGCTGGCTGCTTATTGTCCATCTCCCCAGGTAGATTTTGGACTGTTTTGTCCACTGCTGTGTGCTGAGGTCAGGGCCAGGACTTAGTAGGTGTTCAGTCAATAGATGTTGAATGAACAAATGACTTTCATTCTCCCAACTGCCCTGCAATGTGGGGTCTATCATCCCCATTTCATGGGTGAGAAATCAAGGCTGAGAGAAAGTTACCTGTCCAAGCCCACACAGCTCTCCAGTTGGCAGAGCCAGAATTGAAACCCAGGTTTATTTAGCTCCAAAGTCCTGCCTTCTTCTCCAGCATGCAGTCTCTTCCCAGCCCGTGGTTTAGATAACATTTATTGGGTGTCCCACCATGCACACAGGGCTCTGCCTGCACAATAAGGAAACGCCAAAGTAAGAGAAGTCCCTTTGTGATGGATGTCAGGGAAGCCCCCGTAGCTGCCTTTGCAAAGTGCATCTGCATATTCCTAAGGAGTGTGCAGGGGTCCACATGGGCCCTCGGATCTGCTGAGCTCTTAGAGTTCCCACTATTGCAAAGTGAGGTGCCACTGTCCCCCAATCCACGGATGAGGAGTCCGAGGCACCGAGCTAGGACCACGGCCCCAGATCACAGGCAGTGGCAACGCTAGAACTGAGAAGACAGAGCTCTGTGGTCAGAACGCAGGGCCTCTCCTCCCGCCCCTGTAGCCTCCACCTGGGGTCTCCAGGGGAATCAGTGGTGTAAGCCAGTGCGGGGTGCAGGGTGGGGAGGCCTTTCCCTTCTCTCCCACCGGCACCTTCCCACTCCTTTCCCGCGCCTTGGGGTACACGGATCCTTCTGATTGGGGAAGAGCTAGATTCAAACTGCGAGTTGGGTTTAATCATTAAGTGTGTCCTGGAGGCCAGACCAGGCCAGGCCCTCCCAGCGGCAGCTCAGTGGCAGGCGCCCTGGCGCCCCGGGGTGAGGGTGTTGCTCTGCTCTGTGCTGGCCCTGCGCAGCCCGGCCCTGCCCACTGTCCATGCCATCCTCACAGCAATCTTTTGGAGGGGCTATATTTGTCCCCCTTCTGCAGGGTGGCCGAGTAGGGACGGGGGTCCTCATGGAGCAAAGCGGCCATGGCTTATAGTCCAGACGGAGAGGGGCCGCGCTGCCCCTCAGCTGGGCACACGCACCTACCCGATGCCCCTCGCCAGCCCTATCTCTGGGCCAGGAACCATGTGGCTTTCTATCTGGGGGGGGGGTTGACACTCCCAAGGCCTAGCAGCCACTGGTCCACTGGGACTGGCCTTCCTCTTGCAGTGGCCTTGGTCACTCCTTACAGCCAAGGTGGGGGCTGCACAGACGACCAGCCCGCGGCTCCCTGTCCCTCTTTGCCCTTCTCTCTCCCAGCGCCCATCTGCAGGTCCTTGGCCTCCTCGCGCCCACCAGCTCCCTCCCCCGGTCCTCAGCAGTTACAGCTGAGCCAGCCTCTCCCAGAGACTCAGTGACCTGGTCCCTCCAACAGCCCGAAACCTACCTGGCTGTCGACACATGGTCAGGGGCCTGAGCAGTCAAGGCTCCTGGTGGCCCTGGGGCCTGGGGGTGGGGGGGACATGGTGTCAGTGGGAGCAGGAGGAGGGGGTGGGGTCCGTCCAATGTGACGGCCTTGCAGAGGGGCCTGGAGCCGCAGGAAGGAGCCTTCCCCCCCTCCGCCCATCCCTGTGTGGGGTCAGGTCAGCTCCCTGGGGAGCATGTCTGGAGGGAAGTCCTGCTATGTATCCACCTGCCCCAGCCAGGTCTTCTCTTTCTGCCTGCTCTGGGGTCCTCTGTGGTTTGTCCCCCTGTGGCTACCAATCCCTTGGGCACATGTGCCAGGTGCTGGGGCTGAGGTAGGAGTGCATGGGCGGCTGCTGGCCATCCCCTGGAAGAAGACAATACACTCTCGGGACGGGGCACACATGTGGGCCACATTCCTGGGGACACAGGCTCTGCTCCCTGTCCAAGGGCACCCAGGGCCCCAGGCACAGCTGGGTCACCAGCACGCCTCCCACTGCGGTCGCAACCAGCTTTAGAAACGTGTCCCCCATGATGCAGAAGAGAAGCGCTGGGGCCTCACGGGCCTTTCCCCTCCACCAGCGTGGACCGTCTCTCCTGTGTGCCCGGCGGGTGCCCAGGTTGGGGACCGGGGGCTGGACAGCAGGTCGGTCCCGAATGTGGCTGCTGGGCCAGGCTGTGCCTGGGCTCAGACCTCAGCTGTGCCTGGGCCCGGGCGGGACCCCCTGTGCCCCATATAGCGGGAAGCAAAGGTGGTCCCTGCAGTTGGTGGCCATGAGCTTGAATAACACAGAGCTGGAGCCTTCAGGGGACAGGCAGGACAGGGCTGTCACACCTTGTGACCCCTGGGGAAGAGAGGCCTCAGTCCTGCCTGGGGGCCCTGGGCACGGCTGGCTGCAGGGGTCCTTTGGC